GTAGTACTCCTTGCTCCACCCTTTCTGTGTTTTGGCTTCATCCTCGGGATGTGTTATCTCATGGTCTGGGGACGGTTGCCAGTTGCAACCCAGTTATAGGCATCCTCCTTCCCATTTTGGGGGAAGAGGGCCTTGTTTGCCATATTCCCACGGGCTTGGGTTACTGTGAATTCCTGAACCAGTCACTGAGGCCAAGGAGATGGACTATGATAATTGACACGTATGAGCCGGAGGTGTCCCCTGGGACTGATGCTGGAGACAATTGCACCCAAACCTCATGGTAGCTCCCTGATGGAGAAGAGCTGGTTCCTCAAAGGAGCATCTGAGTGTGTTAGGGAGAGGGACGGGGGCTAGAGGTTGTATGGACATCCACGAATGTTCTCTCTACCGCTTACTCTCCTATCATTGGGCTTTACTTCTTGCCTCACCCTTTGAAAGGGGCATTAACCCACTGGCCTTTCTGTAAGAGGATATGTAGGGAACTAGAAATAATGTCTCACTGGGAATTGTTGCAGGAATGAGACCTTGGAGAAGCAGAACGATGGAGCACACGTGATTATGGCCTTCAAGAACATAAAACCTGGTAAGAAGAGGGAACAGCATCTCTCATTCATGTGTGTATCCCCTGTCTAGTGGAATCTCTGGCACATAAGAGGTGCATTTTTGTGGAAAGAAAGAATAAATCCAAAGGGAGCAAGTGTCCCTTTCCCTGAGGGCATTCTGTCAGCCACTAATCGGCCCTCTGTTGGGAGTGATAGGAATTCTTGCACAGATGAGGCTGGACTGCATGGTTTTATGAGAACAAAACAAATGACTGGACAGAAAGAGGCATTAGAGACCATATGGCTGAAGAAGTTTGTGAGTGAATAAAAAGGCAGTGAGGCATGGTGGGGTGGGCTATTAGAAGAGCTGGTTTGCTGTCGTAGATCTGACAATTATTAGATATACAGCCCTCGTTTTAGCCCAGGAGGCAGGAAGTGGAGAGAGGTGGATCCATTCAGAGACTGAGGAAGCTGAATGCCTGAGAGGTCCCACCGTCATTGTAGTCTACCCTGTTTGGCTCTTGCTTTGTTTGATTAGATAATCACACCTCCTGACCCAGGCGTGACTGGCCCAGTGGGAGTCAGGAAGGAAATTATTTCCCTCTGTTGACACTGGTGTACAATTGTTGCCTGTAGCCAGGGGCTTTCAGTTTTAATATTTCCTCTTTGGTCCTCAGAAGCATCAGGTATTAGCCTCTGTGGGAAGCAAAGCCTTGGTCACTTCTGTCAGAGGTGAATGTCTTGGCTCCCTACAGTGACTCCACCAGGACTTTCTGGGCATGTGTGACCATCTGCTTAGCCAGCTTTGATTGCTTCTGTGTTATTTGCTTCAACAACTACGAAAGGACTTGCTGGGTCAGAGCAGTGACTCGTACAGCCTCCCGAGATCTGTGACTCTTCCCGTAACCAGGGATGCCTTGTAGGAGG